TCCACCCCCCAGTTCACCCTGCATGCGTTAACAGTTGTTACTCTTTTTCCAAGTCACACTCAGTTACCCACTGTGTACATTAGAATTAATTGAATATTACGTTTGTTTTGCTTTGTTTTTTTCCCTTGGAAATTCCTTTTGTCCAGTAAGTACAAGTTCAGGGGACATGTGTGTTTAGTTCGGTTATTGTTTGTTTGGTATTTATTTGGTTTTGTGGTACTGAGAATTGAACCTAGGTCCTCACATGTGCTATGCAGATGCACTGAGGTTCATCTTCAGCCTTTGTGTTTTTGTTCATTTGTTTGGGAGTTTTGTTGGTTTGGGAGGGGGGAGTTCATGTATATAATTTGGATGGCTCCTTTCATCCTTTTCATTTGAATTTTTACATATATTTTGGATGGCTCTTGTTTTTCATGAAAATCCTTCCATCTTTTTGTTTTAGATTTATTTTTATTTTATGAGTATTTTGTCTCCTTGTATGTATCTATTGTAAACAAGTGTGAGTGTTACAGCTCTGGGGCTACAAAGGTGTCCTGACTTATCAGGAAGCCAGGCTACCTAGAGCTGCAATAGGATAGCTCAGCCCTGAAGAGAAAGTTGTCCTGACTCGTTGGGGAGCCAGGCCACCTAGGACAACTCTGAAGGCTGGAGCCGCAACAGGACAGCTCAGCCCCGGAGAGAAGCTATCTTCCCTCCAGAAAACTCAACTGTTCTAGCACATTTATTTTTAGGTAAACCCTGATACCCACCTGCCTTGGGTGAAATCTCTTTGGACTCAGTTGTTTTAAACAGACTGACTGACCCACGTCTTGTCAGAATAGTTTCTGCATTGCAAGTGTCCCTCTAGGCAAGAGTGGATATAAATGACTGTTAATGCTGATTCTGAAGCCTTTCAAACCTGAGGTCCTTCTGTGTTCTTCAACTTCTTCCTCACACTGTAGGAGCTTAGAGCTTATCTTTGGTTAATCATCTTATTTGTGTTAATTTTACGTCGACTCACATCTTCTTAGTAAGGAAGTTCACCTCTTATTTAATCAAGATTGTAAATATGATAGGTTGTGAAAATTAGACGCATACACCAAGGGATTGCTGAAGTCACCTGATGAGCAATTGCTAGCTACCGAGTTGGTCTCCTGAGGGTGACAGTGGCTTCTTCTAGTGTTGCTGCCATTTGGGATGCTGGGATTGGGGGGGCTACTTCTGTAAGAGCTGTGCTGTCACTGGCTTCATCTCAGCGAGCACCATCCCCTTGCCACAGCCTCTTCTCCAGTGTACTCTTCCTTCCCTGCTCTCTCACTCGCTCGCTCTCCTCCTCGCCCCTCTCGCTTGCTCACTCCCCTTGGCTCCCCTTTTTCCTACTTTGAGAAGATAGCAATTTAAGGTAGAGTTAGTGTAGAGCCAAGGATGACCTTAGGATAAGGAAGCCAGGTAACACACTGAAGTTTAGTGGTGCATGCTCCAGTCACTTTTCTTTTCCTATGTTGTTTTTGTTCTGTGCTTTTGAAATATTTAAAAAATAGAGTGAATAAAAAAGTAATTAACTTAAACATTTATAATATCAAATGCCATGTTTTCAAAATATTGAATAGCACAATCTATATGAAATATTAAATAAGTAAGCATAGAGTATGACCTATGTTTTAAATTTATATTTTAAGCATGAATTTGTAGTTATAAATGTGAAAATATTCTTATGTGTCTGTACATATAAGGATATATTTTGAAGGCTGAAAACAAAATGTGTAACTGTATTCTTGGGAATTTTGAATTATGTATAAGTTGTTCATTTCAATTTGTTTTAATTTTGAGCAATGAGAAATGTGTAAGACCATAACAAGTTTTAAAACACGCACAACTCTTGCAGGGGACCTGAGTTCTGTTGCCAGCATCCACATGGGGTTAAGTCCACCTTCAGGGGGTCCATCACCCTCTTCTGGACTTGGTGGGCACATGTACTTATGAGTATATACTCATACACAGACTTGTTCATATAAACATAAATTGTAAATAATAAATTGTGTTATGTATAAAATGTGGGATGATCAAAATCAGATGCAGCTCTAAATTATAAGACTGAGGAACAGAATCATTGGCTTGGATGGTAAATACAAAGGGATGTAGCATTTTCTTGAGTTCCTTATATTGCATCCCCAGTACAGTTAGCAACAACTGAAATAAACATGTTAAGTAAAGATGGAAACCTGTGAACAAATCCAGAACACATTCTGCTTGGAGCTTTGCATAAATCTCCTACCCATTTGTATCATCATCTCTCATGTAAAATCACAACCAAAAGAGCATCAGCTGTCTCTAACTCCCGTGAAACCACTTTACTTTCTTTAAAATGTTGTAGAAATCAGTTGGGCCTAGTGGCAGCCACCTTCAATTTCGGTGTTTGGGAGGCAGAGGCAGGCTGATCTCTGTGAGTTTGAGACCAGCCTGGTCTATAGAGAGAGAGTTCCAGAACAGCAAGAGCTCTACATAGAGAGACCCTGCATCAATCAATCAATCAATCAATCAGTCAGTCAGTCAGTCAGTCAGTCAGTCAGTCAGTAAGTAAAAGTAACAAACAAGGTTGTTGTATTGATTACTTAATTGCAAAGAATGAACAATCTTTTGCATAAGTGCTATCTTTCTCCACCTGAGCGCCACAGGAGAATTAAGCCATTCAGAAAATTATCTGAGCTGGCCTTGTGGTGCAACGGTAGTGTGTCTGACTCTAGAAAACTATCTGAATAAGTTCATGACTGGGTGATACAGGGTTAGTACCAGCCCAGGTGTCATAAGCGTTATTAAACTTTACATATGATGATGCTGTAGGTGTTGGAGCTTAATTCCCCTGAAGAACCTCAAATAAGAAGGGCTAATGTATTAGCTACTATTTTAACCAAAAAGTGTCAGAAATGAAGAGGCCTATTGTTTCACTTAAATGGAAAAAGACAGAAGACTTCAGAAATGATTTTGCTGTAGTGTTTCTGCTGTTCTGATTTTGTCTCTTCTCTAGCCATCAGCTCAAACTGAGGTTTCTAAGTTGTGAGTGTGAGTTACATTTGAGTCAGTCCAGTGAAGGGTCCTCTTTTCTTTTTTTCTGTTTGGTTTTTCAAGACAGGGTTTCTCTGTATATAGCTTTGGAGACTTTCCTGTGATGCTCTGTAGACCAGGCTGGTCAATGTATAGGAATAATTTGGTAAAAGGATTTGAGGAAAAGACCAAGTTCAGTTAAAGTGATCATAGCAACAAAGTTTCCACTGAGAAAGCAGGATGGGGGACTGGGTTCCTAACTATAAGATAGCTACCCATTTTTTTTTTTTTTTTTTTTTTTTTTTGGTACAGTTAACAGTTATTTCTACTTTCTGCCAAGGATATTTGAGGAAAGTATATAGGCATAAAGTGAAGGTGGGCTTGTATACACTTTTGAGGTCTGAAGGAGGGGTCTGAGGTCTCATCATTTTGTGGTTTTGAAAGATTGCAGAAGGGATTGCTACACTGGAAAGTGTTCTTCCATGTGACTCTATTCTGAAGGGGCAATACTTAAGACAGTTTTAAAACTGACTTTAAAAGCCTGTAAATACCCAGTTAACACTAAGGCATCTCTCAGGGGCTTGTAGAAATCTCTAAAAACATAGTATGGGCCTTGATGCTCTGTTGAGTGTTATTCAGCATGCTACTGTCTGTAGTATGGCAAAAATAACTGTGTGTCCATGCATTTGGATCATATATTTGTACAGCCTGTTATAGGAAGATTACACTAAAAACTGTTAAAATGGCCACCGTTAAAGTAAGCCAGTCCTCTTTTGGTCTCAGGTGTGACTTAGTTTCAGCAGTTACCTCTAGTTAACAGCTTCTAAATACTTAAAGCTTCCACACATGGTTTCCTAATTTTAGGTTTTGTGGGGATATTTTTAAAAACTGTTTTTTACTCTTTAAGGACCCTATTTTCTAGAAAGTTCACTTTTTCTTTCATGGTATATGAAAACTGGCCAGGCATGCTGGCACACACCTTTAATCTCAGCTCTGGGGACACAAAGCAGGAGACCTCTGAGTTTGAGGCCAGCCTAGTCCCAATAGTAAATTTCAGGACAGCTGGGGGATGTGTACTGAGAAGAAAAAGAAAAGGCAGCTTTTCCCCTAATAGCGGTGGCTTTGGAAAATGGCCCCATCTCTACTCAGCAACTGCTAGGATCAGGAGACCATAAAGACTTACTCCACCCTTTTGTTTGTTTTGGTTATGTGTATATGTGCAGGTTTTTGGTGGTGGATGTGTGTGTGTGTGTGTGTGTGTGTGTGTGTGTGTGTGTGTGTGTGTCAGAGAGAAAGAGAGAGAAGTGAGTGGAAACCAGGCAGTGATGGGGGTGTGTGTGTTCAGTTGCCTGGAGAGACCAGAGAGAGTGCTTGGTATGTCAGAGCCCCTGGAGTAGGAGTTGCAGGCTGTTGTAAACCACCTGACATGGATGCTGGGAACTGAACTCAGGTCCTCTTTAAGAGCAGTACATACTCAGAACTGCTGAGCTATCTCTTCAGTCCTAAGAGCATTTTTTTAAAAGCAGTGCATATTCCAGTGCATATTCCTGATGTCTCACAGCTAATTATCCCTTTCTAGAGTTGGAGGATTTTTTTTCTGTTTCTTCAAAAGATTTCAAGTGTAACTGGTAATCTCATCAGCTTTTGACTTGACACTGGCTTTTATGGTTTGGGTAGAGAAACAACTGCATAAGAAAATAATTATATAAATGGTCTTGAAACCCAAGGGTAATTTTGTCATCAGAGGACCTGTTCAATCATTAACTTCTAATTATTTTAGGGGTATGTCTTATGAAGTGTCTGCTTTGTCAGCATTCATTAGCATTTTTTTTCTTAGAAATGTTCTGTTTAATTCATTAAGAGTTACTTTTCAGAGAAATAGAATGGATTTGATCAGAATTTAGCTGACTAAACTGTTGCACTGTGTTCACAATGTAACAATTGTCTGGTGACTTTCCCTGTCTGTTGTCACAAAACAGAAAGAAGAGGGCAAGCTGCAAGGACAGCTGAACAGGTCCGACTGTAACCAGTATGTTAGGGGACTGAAGGACCAGATAGCAGAGCTGACTCATGAGGTGAGTGGTAGATGTTGGTCTTCACATCTTCCTCCTTTCCTTCCTCTCTTGGTGTGGTACTTTATTACCAACCCTTTCGTGCTGACTGTTGTCTAAAACTCATGGTTATACTTGAGAGCAGCTTAGAAGATTGCCTTCTTAAGCAAAGATTTGTGTGTTCAAATATTAATGATTTGTCTTTCTTAAACTTTTAGTAACTTAAAATGATCAATTCCTGGCATCTTTTCTTTTCTTTTTTTTTTTTTTTTTTTTTAATTGTGATCTGAAAACGCCCACGTCCTCAATAGACTGCAGTTATATTAAAATTTCCTTACACCTAACTGACTGGTGTTTGCCGTTGAGTGGTGGGGGAAGTCTTCTCCCCCTTCACGGTGTTCTTACTGAGATTGCAAAAAAGGATACTTGCCTAACATCAGTTAAACAGATTTCTTAGTATGTGAATGCTTTTTAAACTGGCACCTAGAATCTTTGACATTCAGCCATTGAAATTTCTCATAATTAGACTCTAAATTAGCTCTTAGGCTAATTTAAATAATTTAAACTGATCTATTGTGACTGGAGAGAGTCTTTTTGTCAGTGCAGCTTAGGTCAATTTTCTGGTCTTTACTATTTTAAATTGATAAATATTTGAATATTTGTAAAGTAATATTCACAGTAATGAGATTTGAGAGGATAGCATAAACTTGATTTGATTTTTAAAATGAAGAAAGGAAACCCCTTGACTACTAGATGAAGCTAAACCTCAAAGGAACAAGTGTGGGCATTGCCCTTTCCTGGCCTCACATCCTTCAGTTGAAGTCTGAGTGTTTGGTGAAATAACTTCCTGCAGGTAGTTAGTTTAGAGTGAATTCCTACTGAAGAGGAAAGAAGTTCAGTTTCCTTTGACCTGTCAGGGCTGCTCCTGTCAATATTACTATTATGCATAGTGGTATTTGAGAAGGTCAGGATCTTATGTATGCCTTTAACTAAGCTTTCAACAAATGACTTGTGTTTTATTTCCATCAAAATTCTGCAAATCCTTCCTCTGGGAACTTCGTGCCCAGAGTGTGTTCTTAAGAAATTCTGACTTGGGCTGGAGAGATGGCTTAGCCATTAAAGGCTAGGTTCACAACCAAAAATATAAGAAATTCTGACTGAAATAAAACAGTTTCCCATAAAGTATAAGAAAACTAATAATTGTTGGATTAAGAAAATTATATATAAATCAATTATATTTCTAAAGCTAGCCTAAAAGAACCAGTCAGTAGGAATCAATTTTGCTTGTCGAATGTGACTAAAAATGAAAATGTTTTTCTCACCAAGACAGAAAATTGTTCATGTGAGATTTAACTTGGATATATTGATTGAGCTGTGGAGGCAGGGTCTTGCATTGTCATCTCATTTCAGAGTTTCATCTTCCTTCAGGCTTTGGAATACTGGAATTATTGGTGTGCTTCATTGACTATGTATGCGTGCACAAGGGGGAGTGCGTGCGTGCGTGCGTGCGTGTGTGTGTGTGTGTGTGTGTGTGCGCATGTGTGCACACGCGCATACTATTGATGTTGAAAGCAGTTTCTTGTATAAATTTGAAGAGAAAACTTATTTTCAGGTACAATGTTTTGTTAAAGAGCTAGAGCCAAGTTAAATAACTACTGTAAAGTCTGGAGAGATGACTCTGTGGTTAAGAGTACTTACCGGTCTTGTGGAGGATTGGGTTCAGTTTTTGCATGCACCCTTGCATACAGCTTGCAACAGGCTATAACTCCCACTTCCAGGTAATCCCATACCCTCTGGCCTCCTTGGGCACTCATACATACATGACATACATATTGTCCAGATCTGTTATCTTTTCTAAGGGGATTAAATACTGTGCCACTTTTACATTTTACTTATGTTCTTTAATACAGCCCTTCATAGTTTAAAAAAACATAACCAAAATCAATCTGACCTTGGTAACACTTGTATGCTAGAATTGGCTAAATCTTAGAGTTTCAATATAGAAATTTTCATTTGAATATTAATATCATAGTTGATTATGTGATGGTTAACAGTCACTTTGTTGACTGATGTTTGTTCTTATTGAAAGACATCTCAAGAGAAACTTGGCACAGTCGTTTTCCTCTGCAGATATGGCACTATCCGTGTTATAATTGTGACCCTTTCCCATAGTGAGCTTGATGAAGCAGCCTGTTTTTAATAAATGTCTGGAGACATTGGTGGTTAGCACACGATGGTTTGTACTTACTGAGTACTCACTGTGTCAGATGATTCCTTTTTATTATCACTGATCTTGGACAATGCCTTCTCAATGTGGTACCATTCTCAGCTTCGTGGATTGGGCACTTAATTTTTTCCCAAGCAGAATACAAGAAACACGTGTTTGAACCAGCTTGCTTTCTCTTTACAAAGACATTAGCTCTAATATCTGAATTCTTAGGAGTGGTCATTAGCACATGAGCTGTGATTGTCCTGGATCATGATTGCAGATGTCCAAAAGAGACAGATTTTTCTTTTTTTATGGTACATCATCACACGTCACAGGAATCTTTTGTTGTTACAAACTAAGTCGGCAGTTAGAAATTTGAATGAATAAAGGAAATCCATAAACAAAGCCTTTGCTGACATTTGCTTACAAAATAGGTGTTAAATACTCGTTTTAAGATTCTTTTTATGTACACAAGCCAAAGATACTATTAAAAATCTATCAAAAAGTATTTTAATGTTCTAAAAGTGCTTAATATAATGTAAATAGGTACACTCACTTTGTTATTAAAGTAGAATTTTTAAAGCAAAAAACTTAAGATTCAAAAACCATGTACGTCTTTGTACTTTTACAGTTTTTCATTTTCTGATAGTTCCATTCTCTTGTATTATTATTATTATTATTATTATTATTATTATTATTATTATCATTATCATTATTTACTAGTAAGGAGCTGTAGAAATGATTCAGTTAAGAGCACTTGCTGTTCTTTAGAGAGTAAGAGTTCCCAGCACCCACACTGGTCAGCTCGCCACCTCCTATGATGCCAGCTCCAGGGAATATGACACACTTTCTTGGCTTCCAAGGACATTTGTACTGTGTGCACATGAGTAGATACACACAAGGACATGTGAATAAGTAAATTTTTAAAATGTATTTTGTAAATGAATGATAAAACCATTTGCATGTGAATATTTTCAGTATCAGGCATTTTAAAGACGATGGCTGGGCATGGTGACATTTGCCTGTTATCCCAACCATATGAGTCCAGGGCATGAGGGTCACTAGGCTATAAAGTAAGTTTAAGACCATTCAGAGCTACATAAAAGACCCTGACACAAAGAATGGACTCATGTGGACAGTGATCTTAGAACCAGAATATTCAGCCTGGGATGGTTGTGCACACCTTTAATCCCAGCACTTGGGACATGGAGGTAAGAGGACCAAATAATCTGAGCTGAATGAGGTAATGCCTCAAAAAGCAGAAAAACAAACAACAAACAAAACCAGCAGCAGGAATACTTAAGAGTAGTCTGTGCTTGTTTGATTCTCTCCATTGACCTTTTTACATGGGTTCCAGGGGTCATTCAGGTGGTCAGGCTTATGTGGAAAGCACCTTCACCTACTGAACCTTCTTATTGGCTTCCCTCTTTTGTTCCTTCTGTTGCAAGTCTTCATTTCCTTTTAGATACAGCGGGACTCAAAGAATGTTCCCTTGTTTATAAAGTAGTAGCCAAGAATAGCCTTACCCACAAACTGCATGGGTGGTATCAGTGCATTTCTAGAAACAAAAATAAGGATTTAAAAAAAAAAAAAGTTTTTCTGTTTGTTTTGATGGCTGCTAATGCTTGAATTTTGATTTCTAAGAAAATTTTAATGTTTAAAATTAACGTGTATCCCCCCCCCCAAAAAAAATAAAGGCCATGTGGTGCTGACTCCCACCTCTCTGTGAGTTCAAGGCCAGCCTGGTCTACAAAGCTAGTTCCAGGACAGGCTCCAAAGCAATACAGAGAAACTCTGCCTCAAAAATAATTGATAGATAAATAAATAAATAAGCAAACAAATATGTAAAATTCATATGTAAGGTATAAGTTGTCATTTGTTTTTTTACCATAGAAAAAGATTAGTTTTCCCAGAGTAGCAGCTTCTAATTGCAAAGAAGTGTACCCTTAAAATTAGCCTTTCTTTCGTTGGATCAGTGTAGGAGCTCATGCCAGCCTCAGGGCAAGTAAGTAGTTTTTCTTAGCAGACTAAACAGTTCCAGGAACAGAGCAAACAATCATGGTTGTACCTGTGAAAATTACCTTAAGATCCTTAAATGTTTTGTGTGGTTTATAAACCTTAGAACTTGTATTATAGTTTTAAAACTAAGTTTAATTATTACTACTATGTATAAAATTTTATTTAGAATAATATCACTATATAAAATGCTTGTTTTTGCATTCTTATTTGTTTGGACCTGGGAATCAAACCCAGGCCTTGTGTAAGCATCCTACCAATGCACTCTGTCTTAGAATTTATTTAGGTTAGTCAACTTTCCATCACTAACAAAATGCCTAAGGATAGTGAGCTTGTAAAGACAGAACAATTATTTTAGCTCAGCAGATCTATAGGTACAAGTCAGTGATTGGTTGGTTCTGTTCTTGTTCTTTGGTGCCTTGTTGAGGCAGCACATCATCCAGCAATGTGTGATGGAACAGAATCCTTCTTTTTGTGGCCAGGAATGTCAAGGTACCACATTTAGGATGTCTTTAGGGATACTTTCACAATTACTTTCTTAGGCACTTGCTGGCTTTTGGATATGCTCTTTCTATCTCTTACTATTCTGATTCTCTTCCCATTATCCTCTTAGTATATGTGTTTGGCATTATGGGTGCTAAGCAAGTTACATCCTCAGTCTATCACCATCTCATAAAAGTTTTATAGAACCCCCCATTAGTGCCATCCCTGGAGACCAAGCCGTAAATACATGGACCTCTGAGAAACATGTAAAACTCAAACTATAGCCATACTTAAAGCCAAGATTTAAGATTCCTGT